CCTGTTCCCCTGCCCCGCACCCACCTGCACTCCCCAGAACTCAGAACTTGCCACATACCTGCCCTGCAAACTGGCCCCGGGCACCAGCAGCCACATCCTGTGGGACAGGTTCAATTATAGGTTCGCACCAGATTTTAAAAGCCTAGTATTTTTAAACCTAAACTTGAGACACAGTTAACTTGGGAAATTATTTTTCCCTATTGATCATTATATGGCAGGTTCCCTTCAAAGAGCAAGCTCCCTTATGTATATGGAGATTAATCTGGTTTACAGAAATATTATTGTCTGGGTCTGATAGGTTTCCCTGTGCATTTCATAGTTTCTTGTACTTACCTGAATTCTGGCAAGAAGCAAAATGTGACATGACAATCTACATGCTGTCTGCTTGAAAAACAAGGCTTTATATAGCTATGCAATTAGGGTTTTTTTATTTTATTTTTCAATTACAGTTTATATTCAATATTATTTTATATTCTTTTCAGGTATACTGAATAGTGGTTAGACAGTCATGTTAGGATTCTTGACATGTCCTTTTCTGGAACATTTTTCTCCGTTGCCACTAAAGAGACCCGAGACTGATCTATGTAGAGTACTGGATGTTGGCTGGGGAAGGAAGGGTAGGTGTCAGGATCCATTGCGTTCAGCAGTTGCATTGCTTCAAGAGCTGTAGATTTGGCCATTGGACTTTTCAAATGCCAAACGAATCTGGCTAGAATCCTTTGGGTGCCTTGTTCTTAAATGGTCTTGGTGTTGTTGGCTTATTATAAATCTAAAAAGAGAATTTAATTATTTTTACTTATGAACTTAATTGTTTTAAAATTCCTGGCTTCTTTTAGGCCCTGTAGCCTGAGGGCAAAATCAACAGACCAGTTGTTGGTGCCATCTAATGTTTATTTATTTAACTTGAAATTATTGTAAGCATCTTAAATTTGGAAGGTTTCACCCTGGCACGGTGGCTCAATTGGTTGAAGCATTTGTACTGTACACCAAAAGGTTGTGGGTTCAATTCCCAGTCTGGGCACATATTTCAGTTGTGTGTTCCATCCCCAGTTGGGAAGCACACAGGAAGCACCCAATCACTGTTTCCCTCTCCCTCTCCCCCTCTGTCAAATCAATAAAGAAAACAACATATCCTCAGGTAAAGATTAAAAAATATAATAATAAAGTTTGGAAGATTTCATGTAAGCATCTAAGTTTCTAGCGTTCTCTGAAAAAAGTTAAGATTAGGAAACACTGAACTTATGTTCCCACACACCAACAGTGGTGTGGAGCTGAAAGACAGCTACTCTATCTAGTTGGAGTGAATGCATTTCAAGATACCACAGTCTCCACCACTCCCTATTGCCTAATACCTCATCCACTTCACTCATTTACATTAATCTCTGGCTCCTGTAAGCACTGCCATTACAACCCTTTAGAATTTTTTCCATATCAAAGACTCTAATCTTTTCCTTAGGCTCCTTTGAAAACATGATGAAAGCTTTGGACTCTCTACCAGGAAAAATATTCTCAGTTGTACATATATTCTGTATTTTGCATGCAGTTGCACAAGGTTCATAAACCACTTGATGATCAATACTATTTAAATCTTGTGTCTATAGAGGAAAGTATATAAGGTTATCCAAATTAGACAGCAAATCCAAAACTCATGCAGTCAGCCACGTTTTAGAAGAAAAGGTAATACATGTAGGAATATGCTAGTTGTATAATATTAGATGTTTGAAAACATGTACTGTTCTTGGCAGTCAGTAAATAGTAAGATTTTTGCAGTTTGGCTGTTTTGGTGCTACTTAGCCTTGCATATAATCTAGGAAATAATTTACAACCTTCAGCATTCCAGTCACATAACCCAGATGTTTTTTGTAGCTATAGCACAGGTCTGGTAATTTCTACATCTTTCCTTCACAATCCCCAGCAGTTAAATAGGACTTAGAGAGCAGAACCACTAGCCATACCTTTGACGTGGAGCAATAAAATGGCCAAAGACTCAAGGGACATGAACAAAGCAGGATAGGAACAGTGATGCCATATTCATGTTTTAAACTGTCAGACTAAAAGGAAAAAGTAATAATACTGGTGTTGGCAAGGTTGTGGGAACATCGGCTCAATCATACATTTTTGGTCACTGTATAAATTGAAACAACTTTCTGGGAAGCAATTTGGAAAATGTTCTGATCTTTCCATTTAGTAATTCTGCTTCTTGGGATTTATCATAAAGAAATAATCAGAGACATATTCAAAGATTTAGGTACAAGGAAGTTCATGGTAGCATTTTCTTTATCATAGTGATAAATTATAAGCAGTCTCAATGTATGTTATACTCTTAAGTTAGGATTCCATACAAGTATTAAAAACCTTGTTTTAGAAACATATTTAATGACACACTTGGGTTATTGGAACTGGGAAAGGCATTTTTTAAAAGTATATATATTCATTTACTCTTAAGCAGCTGTATGCCTGGAAACCAGCCCACATCCTCTCGTGGAAAGAACTGTGCCCTGTGCCTCCCTGAAATGGGATTCAGTTTAATTCAACAGACACTTTTAATTCCAACTGTGTAAAAACAGACTAACAGAAAAGCACCTATGAGAGGATGAGGTTCCTGCCACCCCCTGGTCATGGACCCCAGGTCTTCTCCTAGCCAAGTCCATGCGTCCCATCTTGGGCCATAAGTTATAGGAGTTGAAGATGCACATATCACCTGGTTGTACAGCTCACTGTTAGGCAGCTAAGAGCGCTTAATGTCAATGTCAGCTGTGAGGGAAAGAATGCATGCTTTTCTTGAAACATCGGTGGTTTCGTATACACTTCAGCCTCTTTAAAAATTGCCGTTTCAAAGTGGCTTATAAACTTAAAACTCCATATAGGCCGAGAATGAGCATCTTGCCTCATTTGCCATATCTGGAACCATTGGGCTCTGCCTGCATTTCAAGGAGCACCTCTTTTCTCTTTCCTCAGCCTTATTTAGGAACCAAGAAAATAAGATGGCCTAAGCAGTTTTGCACACATGAAGCAAACATTTCCCTAAGACCACCAAGAAATTTGTGTTGAGTTAGAACACAGCTATTGAAGCCAAAGGACTTAATTATATTAATTGGATTTCTATGATGCCTTTAGTCCAAAGGAGGGGGGACACAGTGTATCAGGAAGGGAACGTGCCACTTGGAACAGTAATAAAAGGAAAAGTGGCAAGAGATAAATATGCCCTGCTTCAGTCTCTCTGAGATAGTAAAGCCTGGGGAATCCACCAGGCTTTCCTTCTGCCTGAACTGGTACTAGACTGGTTCACAGCTCTGTCTGACTATGAATTAACCTAATTTTGTTTCTTTAAAAAAAAGACTAAGTAACCTAGCAGGGATTCTAAGGATTCTCTTATGTGTTGAATGCATGGACATGGAAGACTACTCATTCATTCGTTGATCTCGATGGCCCAGGCTCTGTGCTAGGCACACAGATATAAAGAAGTCCTGTCCCACAAGAAAGGGAGAGTACATTGCAATGCTGTGTGATAAGTGCTTTGTGGGGATGAGTACAGCAGAGGGGACAGTGAGGTGGAGTTTTGAAGAAAATATAGAAATCAGGTGAAGTGGGATGGGTATTCCAGGCAGAAGAAAATAGCAAAAGGCATGGCATCTTGGGAGGACAGTGAGGCTTTAACTGGAATGCTGGAAACATGGGGAGGAGGAGTGGAAATGAAAGGTGAGCATGTGGCCTCACGAGGTTATATGCCTTCCTGAGGGGCCTGGACTAGAGCATAGAGGCATGGGGAAGCAAGTTATAGCAGTGACTCCCCACTGTGCCGTTCTCTCCAAAAGGTCACTGTGAGCAATCTTCATGTGGGGAAGGATTTTTAAAGAAAAAAAATTCAATGGGACTTGGTAAAGGTGGTCAGGCTGACTTTATTCAGGCCCACTGTGATAGGTACAGGGATCACTGTGATGGGATTTCACAGTGGGGAGAGGTACTGGGCTCAACTCAATGAATACAGCATGAGCAAGAAGGAATTTGATGGCCACCGGGCAGGGGAGGGGGATCCGTGGATGGATTACTAAGAGGAAGCATTGGGGGTAAGGAGGATTCTGGCTCAGCTGACCTAAGCTGATTCTTGCTGAAGGCAAGGCTAGAGTAATCAGACATCACATAGGAGATGGTGGATAAGGAGCCTGATTAGATATCAGTAGTGATCAGATATGAAGGGTGGAGGGTTCTAATTAAGTTGACTAGCAGGGTTCT